CTGCTCGTACTTCGGAAAAATTTAAGTTGTTGACGTCACCAACGCCAGTGTAGATAGGCTAGATAGGATCTGCCATTCATAGTCTGGGCGCTGAGCGCGAGATAGGGATTCGATATTGGTCCATTGTTGATGATGATGAGACTATTCTAACATTGTCACTTGTGAGTTTTTGCTGTGCTCTTATTTGGTGGAAATGAAGTTGCAATTCAAGTTTTGGTTCGAGGTCAAGACTATCTGGTTTCATGTGGGGAAAAAAAAAAAAAAAAAAAAAAAGGGCAGGAATGAGGGAGTCGATCTGGTCGTTTCAGCGGATTCCCGTAATGGAGGAAATTGACCATGACATAATCCTCGGGAGACCATGGTGCGCCAACGTAGAAATGATAGGCATGCACTTGCACGATGGTACGTACATGGTAGATATAGAGGACCCAGTAACTGGTCGGGGGGAGCTTCTCTGACTCCTTGGGACGGGAGGAGACCCTCCGAAGGGGAAATTAACAACGTGGTCGCCATCGTTCGAAGATAGCGCACGGAAGGGGGCTTTTGCGCGAATGGAGGGTATGAGAGAAAGGGTAGAAATTATGATTGAGGAGGCATTCAATAAGAAAGAATGGATCAAGATGGACCTGCCCCAGAAGAAGAGAAGGCAGGAGGACGAAATCTTAGGTGTTATGGTGACAGAAAAGGAATCAGAAGTCGAACTCGGAGCCAGCCTACCCAAGCGAAAAGAGGTGCGGAAGGGGGTACTGGAAATCGCACTCGAAATCCCTGACTTCTTGCAGCTCATCAAAGCTATTAGGTATCACAAAGTAGGCATGGACTCGGCAACGCTGGCCAAATTTGAAGGAAAAGTACAAAAGGGGTATTGTCTAAATGTTAAAATAGTCAGTATTCAACCGCGAGTCGCGGAGGCAACAAGAGTAACCCCGACCGTTCATTTTTTAGGAGAAAGATCTCTGAAGGAAGTGTTCGAAAGTATAAGCCAGTAGGGAAGAAAGCTAAGCCGGTCTCCATTCTGCTAGAGACCTCCAAGGAAGAGGACTTGGAAAGGGAGGAAGAAGTTCTCCGAGTGATCTAAGAAAGGCGAGCAACGGAAGGGCATCGGATACCAGATGAGATAGCTGAGACAATGAAGATAGGAATAGAGGGATTCTTAACGGAAGAAGAAACCCTCCTGATCAAAAGGACGTGTCAGGAGTTTCATCTGGAATTTGCCTTTAGTGATCATCAAAAGGGGCGGTTAGACGTGAAGCTAATTCCCCTGGTCAGAATCCACACGGTAGAACATGAATGCTGGAATGACAAGGAGTCGTCCTATGAATTTGAGAGAGCAAGGGAAGTAACAGACCTTCTTCGAGCAAAGATGGACTCCTTTGTCGCAGAGTCTACGGCGTCGCCATACGCGAACAAGTGGTTCGTCTTTCGAAAACCCAACAAGACGCTGAGATGGATTCAAGATCTGCAGAAGTTGAATGCAGTAACCATCCGGGATGCTGGTTCGCTACCTCAGGCCGTTTTATTAGCAGAGTCTCACGCCGGCCGGAGCATTTACTCCCTAATAGATTTGTATTCAGGGTACGACCAGCTTCCATTGGATGCTCGGGACAGGTCATACACTGCAATGCACACCCTCAAAGGTCAATTGCAGATGCAGGTGACCCCTATGGGCTTTACGAACGCAGTAGCTGAAGCGCAAAGAAGAATGCTCGTCGTAGCCGGAGACATGTTTCCAGAGAAGTGTGAACCCTACATCAACGACAACCCAATCAAAGGCGCCAAAGGACGAGACAAAAATCCAATCAGGAATTCGAAGATTTGTGTGGGATCATCTACAGAACATTCAGGACTTACTCTGCCGATTCCTAGTATACAACATCACGGTTAGCGGACCAAAGAGTATTTTGGCAGTACCGGAAGTGACCATACTGGGATTCCGCTGTAGGGCATATGGAAGGAAGCCGGACCCGGCAAAGATCGATAAGATATCGCAGTGGCCAACGCCCTTGCGCACAACGACGGAGGTAATAGCATTCTTAGGCGTGGTCGGCTTTTGGCGGATCTTTATCAAAAATTTTGCCAAGATCGCTGAGCCTATCCGCGTCATGATCCGGAAGGAAGGAACCATGGATCGGACGGAGGAGCGAGAGGGAGTCGTCCAAACCCTCAAGGACATATTGACGTCCGAGCAAGTCGCCTTGGCAGCGCCTTGTTTTAACGACGAAGTGCGACGACCATTCATCCTAGAGACGGACGAAGGACCCTTGGCCGTAGGAGGCGTACTGATTCAAAGGGATGAGGAAGGGAAAGAGAGGCCGATTAAGTTCGAAAGCAGAACCCTGAACTTCGCAGAACGGTGGTACTCACAGTTCAAGAAGGAAGTCCTAGCCATTTTGCGTTGTCTCAAGACCTCCCAAGCCTACCTATTTGGGAGACGGTTCATCCTGAGGATCGACCCAACGAATGTCGCGGGGGCCTTAAAGAATTACAAGCCTATAGACCCTACGGTGGGGAGATGGGTAGGATTCATCAGGCAGTTCGATTACAAGATCGAATGAATTGCTGAACTCAGAAACAAGGCTGATGGGCTAAGTCGGGTCTGTATCACGCCCGAAGGGATGGAAGATGCGGAGCCCATTGACGTGTTTCTTGAATACGAAGGAGGAACTCTTGCAGTGGATAATGAAATGATAAGCAAAGGATGCTCGTCGGGAGAATTTGTTGATTCAGACCTTGGAAAAGGGGGCTCCTGCCGTGGTAGTAGAACTTAGAGAAGGACCAGTCACCACTCGAGGACGTAAGGAGGAGAAGGATTCGTGGGGAGCGATAGTAGGACCGAATGAGGAATTGATGACAATGACGATTGAGGGAGGTCGGGAAGCCGTGATGAGCCTTGTGGAGTTTTGGGAACGAAAAGAGTTGCAGTGGATGGTAAACCAGATGAAGGAGAGAAAAGACGAGGACCAGGAAGGAAGAGAGTTTTTCTATGTTCAGATATACGAAGGGATTTTTCGGGAGATCGGATTACTGCTGGTAGGGAACAAACAACCCATGGAAGTCAGTTTTAAGACAAGGGAGGAGGCCGAGAGGTACGTCCTAAGGGGCGACCATCTATTCAGGAGGGAGGAAGGCGTTATGCCCAGGAGAGTTGTATGCGGAAGGTCTATGCAGTTGGATGTGATCCAGGCAATGCACGACGGACTAGCAGGAGGACATCGATCATCCAAAGGAACTCTCACAAAGATGACGCCCCTCTATTATTGGCCAGGCATGGCAGGTATGGTCGCTACGTACTGTCAGACCTGCCTGATCTACCAGGAACGGAGCTCGGCTCGCATCTTCCAGCCACTTAGACCAACACAGGTATTGGGGCCAGGACATCTGGTCCACCTCGACCTTGCGGTTATGCCCGTGTCAACTGATGAATGCAGGTATATCCTAGACGCACGGGACAACTTGAGTGGGTTCGTAGAAGCAATCGCCCTCAAGAAAAAGACAAAGAGGAGTGTCGCTGATTGGATAGAAGATTTATATCTGAGGTATCCCTTCATCAAGAGGTTTATAGCAGACAATGAAACATAGTTCGTAAATCAAGAAGTGCTGGGAATGCTTAAAAGGCTCTGCGTACCGATCAAACTCATCGAGCCATATCACCCGGAGGCCAATGCACCTGTGGAGAGAGGGCACCGAACCTTAAAGAACACGATTGCGAAGCTCGCGACGGACAATCTGGGAGGCTGGCCTAGGTATCTTAAGCAGATTGTCTTCTCAGAGAACATGACGCCTAAGAGGACAACGGGATGTATCCCATCGGAACTTTGGTACAGAAGAGAGATCGATTTTCCCGTGGAGGCCTTGATACCTACCTGGAACAGGTTAGATGACGATCCGCGTATGACCACGAAAGAATTGATTGAGGCAAGATGTCAACAAGTTCTTAGGAACGAGGAGGTCATGGAAGACATCGCCAATCGGGTACTAGACAACAGAATGAGGGACAAAGCAAGGTGGCACAAGGTTAAGAATATCCGAAAGGAGCCACTTCAGGTGGAAGAGACGGTATTGCTAAGAAACTCGACACTAGAAAGTACTTGGTCTGGGCAACTTGGAAGAAGGTTCAAAGGCCTCTACCGGGTCGCCAAGCGGGTGGGACTGAACACCTTTGAGTTGGAAGATTTGGATGAAACTCGATTGAAAGGACCCTTCCCAGGGCAACGGTTGGTCAGGTTTCTAAGTCGGGACCCAATGGAACAATGGCTTCAGAAGGCCGAGGATAAAGAAACTGAGGGGCTACAACCTAAGGACAGACAGCGGTCTTGCCCACACTATGGTGTTGTCTCTGACTGCGTCTGTGCGACTGTCATTTTTTTTTTTTTTTTTTTTTGGGGGGGGGAGGGATGGGGCGATGGCTTGGACTGACTAAAGTGGGAAGGCGGCATGTCTTGGGACTTTGTGATAACGGGTTTTATGTGACGATGGAAAAGATTGTCGGGAGTATTGTATCATAGTTCTTTATGGGAAAATAATGGGGTCATCACAAATGTGGCATTTGCATGAGAGGGGAATGTATAATAGTGGCTTGATGCGAAGGGTGTTGGGAGCATTCTGGGGGAAGGGGTATTACCTACCGGACTGGGGGAACGTGTGTATGAGGAGCTTGGCGGGTGTTGTTCTATTATACAGAATCAGGGAAGAAACCTTAGAAAAACAAAAATGAAATTCGGCAACGAGAATGACACCGGGGTGATCAACAGGCCTACCGAAGGGGGAGAAGCGGGACCAAGTCGAAAGCGAAGGACTGCAAAGATAAAATTGTACATAGGGTACATGTCCAAACATGTAGTAGGCAGGGGAACGAGAAAGCACGTGTGGAGAGGGCCTTCGCCCCTCCGGGAGGGAGAAGGTATATATATCTCATCCGGAAGTGAGAGAGAGGAAGAAAGGGCGAGCGTGGGAGGAAGGGCTCAGGCCTCTGACAAGGAAGGAGCCGTGAGATGCGAGCAGCCCGAGTTTTGGCATGGGGAGAGCGAGGGGAGACACGACATGTGCGAGAAACGCGAAGATGGGGAAGGGAGAAGGGAAAGCCCGCATGAAGAGCGGAGCGGTCATGGCAGTTGTGAAGGGAGATACCCGGACTTTGAAGAGGAATATGGGAGGAGGACAAAGATTCCCTATAACTTGGATCCAAAGAACTTCACGGGTGGGTTCAGCCCCATACGGACGGAAGAGGAGGTGGATGAGGAGGAGGAAGTACAAGAGGTCAAAGAGATCAGCAATGGCGATGAGAGGGATGAAATCTCAAGGCCTAGAGAAGAGAGGCGACCCTCGATGCACCGCGAAGAAGCCTTCGAATGGGAAGATGAGTTTGGGTTAATGCCCTGTCATTGGTTTCAACAATGGCTCAATGTAATCAAGCATGATTGGACTATCAAGACCAGGGAACTCGCGGAGGCACGGGTGGCGGCCACACCTTTGGATTTTTATAGTGAGATGGAATTGCAAGAAATTGCAAAGAGGAAGAGAGAAATCATGGTCTCCAGCCTGGGAGTTAAAAAGTCAGTGGAAAGACAAGATGGGCAAGGGACTGAGCAAGATGAGACTCGCGACAACAATAGGGATTAAATGTTGTTAGTGTGGAATAAAAATTGTGTTTTTTCGTTTGCAAACATTGGAACGACAGAATGTGTATAGTATGAGTAAGCTTGCTAAGGATGAATGATGAAAGGATTAGCTAAGACCGTGCCAAGATGAGTTAGAAGATAGCGTTTTGAAGCTACTTTCTGGATGAGCTACCTTCGAAAGAGTTTATGCAAGACAATGACACGGGGCATGGGATGAGACTAGTTGGGAAGAGTGTACTGTGAACTTTGGATGGGATAAGGATTGTGCTTTTGAGAAGAAGCCGTGAGTGCAGCTTCACGAGCAAAGCAAGGCATTGAACGTTGGTTGAATACAAGAGAGGTTAGGGAACCTATGGGTTAAGGGGCGTGAAGAACACTCCTTCCCTAGGAGCCTAATCCAACTGAGGCATGAATGAGTCTGAAAATAGCCAAGAGCGGAGAGACCAGAAAGAGTGAAAATAGAGGGGGTGCCCCTGTCTTTTGCTATGGTTGAACGACCGGGTGGGCTAGTGCTGCTTGGAGTTGTGAGCCTCAATTTAAGCACTAGACGCTAAGTCGGATGTTTGTATAGATAGTAAATGATATTGAGAAATGGACAAAGAGAACCGCACACAAAGAAATTGCAAGAGATGGCCACCTTCTAACCCCCGAGACAGAAATAGGATCCGTGTCCTCGAGACCCACCCCCTCGGGCGCTAACATTGGAATGGAAAAGGAATGACTCTAACCAGGCTGCTCGTTTGGAATGGGAAAGGAATGACCCTAACCGGGCTGCTCGATTGGAATGGGAAAGGAATGACCCTAACAAGTCTGTTCGATTGGAATGGAAAAAGAATGGCCCTAACCAGGTTGTTCGACTTGAGAATGGAAAGGAATGACCCTAACCAGGCTGTTCAATTTGAGAATGGAAAAGAACGACCCTAACCAGGTTGTTCGGAAATGACCCCTGACAAGGGTCATTTCTTTTGAAATAGGCACTGGGGTCCCTGATATGACTGATTGAGAAAGGATTGATTGAGAATGAGCTGGAATGAGCAATGTGAAATAGAAAAAGTCGGTGGGTCAGTCATTGAAATAACCATGAGGATGGACGAAAAAGAATGATGCCCTGGAATGAGAAAGGCATGATAAAGGAGGCCGAACCTTAAATCGAGAAGGACATAGACCGTTGTGACGGTCATAAGATTGGATATTGAAAAATGTAAAAAGTTGAGGATTGAAGGTGGGGCGACGGGTCGACCTTGAAGATGGCTATTGAGAAAGCGACCACCAGACCGGTCACAAGGGGTGGCCTTGTTGAAGGGAGGTTGTCGGACCAGCCATGAAAGTCAGCTTTGAGAAAGGACCGAAAAAAACATTGGATTGAGCGTTTGGATATTGCATTGCATAATCAGGGGACCGTAGGCAATTTGAGGAAAGGTCGTCGGACCGACCATGGAAATAGCAAGAGATTGAGTTTTCCTTTCTTTCTAGTCTCAGGTCTCAACATGAGGGGGATAGCGATGCATGCACCGCGACCCCAGAACCTCTACCCGTCGAGGGAAAAGTCTCAGTGCGACCTATTCCTCATAAGGAAGGATAAGGGTTGAAGGACCAAGGCATCGTTCTCTTTGATCGATGCTCGCCATCCGGAACTACCTCCGACAACGAGCTCTAGTTAGGGAGTTCAAACTGCGCCTCGTATTGAAAACCTAAACGTCAAGGGCATGGAGCCAAATGGGCGAGAGAACCATTTTTTTCCTAAGTCTCATTTTATCTCCCCAACCACATGCCATACCGTAGAGGGGCGGCGTGGCCGTTTTGGGATGGACAAAGGTTGCTCGCATTAAGTTGAGCGGCATTGTCCAAAGGGAGGGGTCGGGCGGGGTACGGGGTGGAAGCCGCAACCACCACTTGACGAGTGAAATTGCCGTGGCGGATCATTACAACCGTTCCGGGACTAACCGCGAGGTCTTCGTAACTGCTCTCGCAGACTAATAGAGAGCCCCAATTCTCTTGAAAGGAAGAGGTCGGATCCAAGAAAATACCACTTGGGAGGAACGATTCGTGAGGGGGCCACTTGTGGTATGATGGGGTCCTGGGAGCCGTGGATTGAACCCACCTAACAGATGCGAGGAGACACCTCAATGATGATGCCCATCTCCAGAGAAGTGGTCGTCGAACTAGAGTAGAGGATTAGCTGAGTTATCAGCGGGGGAGGACTAATCACCCTTCCTTTTTTAGGTTGATGGGCCGGCATCTGTCTACTTAGTTGGCATGGCAAGGTCTGCGTACCTCCAAGTGAGAACCAATCGTGCGATGGGGACATCGCATTTTAAGTGGGGGGAAGGTGTGCCATCTACCGATGACAAAGCGTGCAAAAAGATAAGGTTGTCATGTCCAGAAAAGAAATGTAAGTGTAATTGATTTTGCGTAGGCTTGAGAAAAGTCTGGCAAGATGTCGAGAAGAGAAAGACATGTGTAATTGATGCTTGGTCTTGAGAAAGGTCTGGCAAGATGTCCAGGAGAGAAATGTATGTATAATGGACTTTGCATAGGCTTGAGAAAGGTCTGGCAACATGTCCAGAAGAGAAATGTATGTGTAATTGATTTTGCGTAGGCTTGAGAAAGGTCTGGCAAAATGTCCGGGAGAGAAATGTATGAATAATTGACATTGCGTAGGCTTGAGAAAGACCTGACAAGATGTTCATCAGAGAAATGTATGTGTAATTGACTTTGCGTAGGCTTGAGAAAGGCCTGGCAAGATGTCCAGAAGAGAAATGTATGTGTAATTGACTTTGCGTAGGCTTGAGAAAGGTCTGGCAAGATGTCCAGAAGAGAAACGTATGAGTAATTGACTTTGTGTAGRCTTGAGAAAGGCCTGACAAGATGTCCAGAASAGAAAGACATGTGTAATTGACTTTGCGAGGGCTTGAGAAAGGCTTGGCAAGATGTCCAGAAGAAAGATGCATATGAAATGGACTGGGTAACATGCATGTAAAATTGATTGAGCTTGGGTACAAGAAAGGTCGAATAAGGGTGACATGCATGTAAAATTGGCAGGAGTAGAGAAAAGTGGGGCAAAACGACCTAGGAAAAATACATGTGAATTTGGTTGAGCACGAGATTGAGGAAAGGATGACTGGAGGCATGGGTTGCGCGGGCCAAAGAGTGGAGTAAAAGAGGCACTAAGGGCGACAGAGGCCGGAAAAAAAACCTGGTTGGGACGGGATGGAAGGAGGATCAACCAAAGGGCCGCTTCGGATGGCAAAGCTCGGGGGAGAAGCAGAGGCAGTGATAAGAGGAAAGTTGAAAGGAGGCTTGATGTACTACGGGTGATGAATGAGACGAAAGGAGGCTTGATGTACTACGGATGATGAATGAGTACAAGGAGGTTTGATGCTCTGAGGGTGATAAATGAGACGAAAAGAGGTTTGATGCTCTGAGGGTGATGAATGAGAAGAAAGGAGTTTGATGTCCTAAGAGTGATGAAGGAGACGAAACGGGTTTGATTTTCTAAGAGTGATGAACGAGACGAAAATGATCTCATGTTCTAAGAGTGATGAACGAGACGAAAGAGACCTGATATTCTAAAAATGATAAATGAGACATGGGAAGCCTGAAGGACAAAGAAAACTTGAATCCTACGCACCTCTTCCCGCTCCGAGGACCGAACACTAGAAGAAATTCGAGAAAGGAACACGAAAAGACAAAACGGACCCTGACAAACTAACCACCTATGACATTCCGTCCTCCTCCCTCTTCTATCTCTCCGAACCCCACCGAAAGGAGATTSGTGCGTGAYGAGGACATCGCGAATGAGTGGGGGGATTGTGTCGGGACTGGTGAGTCCTCAATAACATCCCGTCACTCGAGAGACTGTATATAGCCAGATTGTGCACGACAGAGAAATATGGAGTAAGGAGGAAAGAGAGAGAAAAGACAAGGGCCTAGGCCATCGGAAGGAATGATACCCTGGGTTGATAACCGTCGGGGGAAAGGACCCACGACGGCAAGCAAGTAAGTGTGAGGACAGGGGCACATAGAACATAGCATGCGACCAGGAAGGCCGCTGAAATTTCGCAAGACTAAGATTTGTTCGGCGAACACTGCAGGACAACGACAAAAGAATGAGGAAGTCAAGAGGTGGACGACGCCGGAGGTCGTGGGAAGCTAGAGAAAAAAGGTCCAACATGGGKGCCACMTACGACAATYAATGRGAGCCTCACSTTGAMGGTCCCGCGACCAAAGAAACYGACGTGCGCAAGGCGCAAGAAAGACAAGGGAGAAGGGTCCCCGTGGGGCGGCAAACGCCCAAGGAACGTGGGACACCTTGGGGAAAGGCACCAAGGGCCGCGTGGGACTAAGTAAAAATAATGGTATCCGGGATAAAATGTGTCGGGGACCACCGGTGCGACTAAGTGTCGTGGACCACCGGCGGGAGTCCGTGTTGGGGACCGCGGGCGGGACTAAGTGTCGGGGACTATCGACGGGACAAGTGGCGGGATGCATGAAAGTCTCAAGAAAAAACGGTGGCACCACATGTGGGAAAAATAATTAAGACAAGGTGCACCGTCAAGATCAAGATCTTGACGGCCAAAAATATTAGCACCGCTAGTGCAAGCACTAGCGGTAGAAAACGGAAAGACCGAAAGGAAAAGAAAAAGTAAAGAAACTTGAAGTAGGAGGCGTGGGACCAATCTCAAAAATTTTCGATTTGCCTCCCTCAAGAAAATGGAGCTAAAAGAGACCCCATGAGAAAAATAGGCCTCCGGGAGAAAATCGGAGTAGGAGGGGYCACCATGGGAAAATAATAGAGGGAAAGGGAAACTCCCACGAGCATGAGAAGGTMATTATTGCARTCCGAGATACAAYGGACTSYACCWTGGGCATAGTAAAGGCCAAAACTAARAGGAAGGGCCTARAAAAKGGCCTTAACGTCCACTTGATACTTGACACGCTAAGAAAAAAGACAAAAAAAGTGAGAAGGAGTGAGTGAGTTGGCCGTCAGTAGGGACTGCCACAACTAGGGACTGGCAGGTCCCTACTGTCCAAGA